TCGGCTACCGAGTTTCATCGGTGTAAAGCGATCCATAGCAGACTTTAAAAGATCGGTCAGCCTAGAGACGGTAGTGTCAACATCAGCACACTCGTAAAGAGTGACCCAGTTACTATCGCTCAAATGTGCATACAATCCGAGGTAAACACCACGAGCGTAGTCAAACATCGGAGTCCAGGCATCCTATCTGACAGTAAAGGGAAATGAAACCACCGCTGAAACTGGCGGACGCCATTTAACAACAGAAACAACTGGATAGCGAACAACGCTCTGCGAGACCATTTTGATGTTCCTTATGCAGAGGTAAAGGACGTTACAGGCAGCATTTACAACACGACTAATTTGTTGAAAATCATTAAAATTCACGAGATCAAGTAGCTCCTGTTGACATCCAGTGCTCAAGCCTGCGCTGGGCAAATCCGCACTGGATGTGTTGAAAACCCAGTCACCTCCAGGCACATTAAAGCCTCCTAATATTAAAACGCTGTAATTAGATGAATCGACCGAATGAGAGGTGTGGTTGAGAGCATGACCTACCGTGGTGGTAGCAGAACGAAGCGCAAAGTAATAGTTCCCGGTAAGCAAATTAAATCCGTTCGTGACTCGAACTTAAGTCCAAACGCACTCATTTATTTCAAGGCCATACCAACGAAAGCGCGATAATGATTTGAACTCAGTCGACACGTTGATTTGAATGGACCGGTCGATGTCCAAAAGCCATGCCGCTGGGTCTTTTTTGTACATCGCACTGGTTGAGAAACGAAAGAACCGCGCTACGAAAGCCAAAACCCCGCATCGATTCCTATCACTAACACCTGCAACAGCTGCTAAACACACACTACTTCACTTCAAGAAGTTTCACTCAACGACTAGGTGAGCACGAAACACTGATCACTTCGGCGAAACGAGTAGTCGAGGTAGGCGAAACAGGCGGTAGCGGAGACTTCGGCGGCCATGAAAGAATGGCGGAGTTTTTGCTTGTTATGGTATGAATCCAAACGGAAGTGCCCGTCTTGCAAACCTTTTGTAAAGAATAATAACTCTTATCACATGGGTTATTCCTTAAACGTAAAAAAATATGCGGCTCAAAAGGAAATTGCATCATATAACAAAGGTTTAACAACCAAGATCTAAGATGTCCAAAAGCCATGCCGCTGTGTCTTTTTTGTACATCGCACTGGTTGAGAAATAAAACGACGCTCAGAAACATGACAAACCGCATGTTGGTGCGCGTTTGACGCTGTATTGTTGGCCCCTGCACTTCATAACGTCGGCTGCGTCCGGACTTAAATTGGAGCTAAATAATGTCCTTTGCACAAAAAAAATACGTATGGCCAATCCATATGCGGTTGTCTGGTGCATTCAACAAACGTTCTTGCATCAGAAACGTTAGAGATACTCTGGCTTTCCAGGCGCCACACGTCTACGTTCAAGGCGTTTTTCATCAGATAGTTTAACACGTACGATGTGTGAACTTGGGAGCTCTTCGTATATTGTAGAGATGCTACCGCTAATCCTGAAAATAAACCTAATAATATTCTAAAGCATTCATACTATCCAGCGCATCGCCTCCCTCAGTCTTCTTCGCGAACCCCTCTGGTCACGTGACTTCCACGGTTACCAGCTTAAAGCACCACTCTTACTGGTGGACCTTTTACAGTCGAGCCAGGCGGCCTCGTCTTTTTCCGGGCTTCACAACATGCCGGACACATAGACAAAAAATGTTTCGCGTGAATAGACTAAAGATGAATAATATCCGATATGATACAAATGCATTTAATGGCGCAATTTAAAGCCTCACGCAAAAAGTTTTTACGATGCAACATTTACTACCCTAGGACGCAATCCAAACCTAAACGCCCGTTTTGGTGCTTCGTCGTCCATTCTGCGTATCTCGCATGTCCTCTTGTGGCTATCTCGGCCTCTACGGGGCACGTACGCCAGGCATATTCTTTCACCAGGCCCTCCGCACAGGTCTTCCCCTCTTGAGATGTGAACCAGGCGGGAGTTGATGTCGGACTGGATCGTGGTACGGTTTCAGCATGTCCGGCTGAGCCACGTGTCGGTTTTGTTGAGTATCTGGGTCTTTAAAAAGAATCTGACAAAATATTTATGCTCGCCAAGGCCTTTATCTTTACTTGACTCATGAAAGCCCAACTACCCCAAAAACATTTGCTCGAAATTCGTTTTGTTTCCGCCCGAAAATCGCCGATCGGGAACTCGCCGGTTTCAGTCGCACTCACTCTCTTATCCATGGTCGCGTGCCGTTTTTCATGGCATAGACACAACCAGCAAATATAATCAAAGTTGTGGGTTATCAAAGGCACACACTTAATATTAATAATTTAAAAAGAAATATGACGGAAATTTTTGGGGCTCTAAAAAGCTGCTAATACGTTAATTCAAAAACAACGTTGCAAAGCCGCGTGACTTCCGGCAACGCGGTCCTCCTGTATATTTCTTCTTCCTACCCAGTCCAGTTTCGGTTTCGGTTCCGAGCAGTTGCGTTCTTTTTTTTTATTGTCTCCGATAATACATGACGCTCTAGCAAAATATTTACTGGCTGGCCTTTTGATGTCATGTTAATTCACCTGGCAATAAGTACAAAAACACTTTTTTTGTCGGGTGTCAGTGTCCCTTTAAGATTAAAGTCGTTAGAACCCAGGCACCGGACCACACCGAAAGGCCCCATGCCCAGTGGTGCAAGACGTTTAGTAATACCCTTGGCCGCATCGCTAGAGATGTCATCAAGAAGGACAAGGTCCCCTTTAAGTATTGTTACAGGCTTCCGCCGCCAGTCGCAATACGTCTTGTGGACCTTGCTCACCTTCTCTTGATCTCTGGCATAATCGGGTGCGTCACGCAGGCGACGAGCGACTTTTGCCCCGAAGGCAAGACATGTTGAAAGTGGTGGCTCTCTGTCATACTTGCTTTCCGCCACTTCCTACGCGCTGCGAAGCTTACGACCGAAGCAACGAAAAACTTGAGTGAATCCGGTGACGACGCTTTCTGCCCTCAATGGTATTGCGATTTCGGTGACGGCAGAAATCTTCCTGCCTTCACCGAACTGCAATTCCAGAATCGCTTTCGCGATTCCGGAATCACGAAAGTGATTTTCTTAATGTGCTGGTTCCTGTCTCTCTGGGCGTAACAAGCTCTAATGATTTCTTTTAACAGGCTAATTTAGCTCGTTATCAGTTGTCCTGCTGGCCAGTATAGCATAGTTTGGGGGGGGGGGGGGTCGGTGATTGCCTGTGACTAAGAATGACTCACTATAGATTACTAACGAATGGCTTGCCGTTGTAGCTGGAGAGAGAGACGGGTATGCCGTGTCTTCAGAAAACTTACAGCATGTGACTTTATGATGTTCTTGCTGGTTACCGTTCGTAAAAAAAAAAGTTCGATAAGCTTTATTAATTTGTCATTGATCAACAAAAGGTTCATGTTGCTTTTAGGTGTGGAGTGCAGGAGTCCCCACAATATTAACACTTAGCTCCTTGATCAGTGCGATGACCCACTGGCTGCTCATAAGTCCTTCGGGCTTCTGGCTGTGTGCTTTAATACGTTGGCATCTTGATAGAGACGAACCTACCTGGCCGCATCGACTCTCACTCCCAAGCAGACAAAAAGCGACGAGACGGGTTTTAAAGCGTTGAAAAAATCTGCGTGAATCTTTCGAGGATGGTCATATGACATCTCGTGTGCCAGTTCAAGAAGGTGTGTAGGGACGCAGGGCACCTTTCATTCCTGGCGAAGCTGATCGAGGAAACTCTTAGCTTCTTTTTCGGTTGTTTTAGCCAAGTTCGCTACCTCGTGTCGGCGAGGGTCATCATCAAGAAGCTTCATGCTTGTTTCACTTTCAGGAAGCGCGACAAAAAATTAAAGACGTCTACGATTCCCTGTAATGCAAAATTAGAGCGCAGCTCTTGAAGAGTAGGAGGGGAAGGTGCGTAGGGTTTTGTATACCCCTCCTCCTACTCCGTTCACTCCTCCTACTCAGTTCCTCCTCATTCGCACCTCCTCCTCATCCGCTCCTCCTCATTTCCTTCTCTTCTCCTCCTCCTCCTCCTGATCTCCCCTGCCCCTCCTCTACTCCTCTTCCCCTCCTCATTCTCGTCTCTTCCCTCCTCCTCCCCTCCCAAACCACCTTTTCTACTCCTACCCTCCTCCTTCTCATCTCCTCTCCTCCTCCATACCATCACCCCCTCCTACGATTCCCCGCTAAATTTAGCGGGCAGATTGATGCCACGTGACCTGAACACCAATTCAGTTTCCCCACTAAATTTAGAAGCACAAAGGATGTCACATGACTTTGTGTCTCGTCATTCATTAAGAAATTCAGTTTCTACCCTGGATTTGGCGAGAAAACGGACGTTACGTGACCTCAGCACCAATTAAATTTCCCACTAAATTTAGTGGGGCGTTTACGCCGCCGGCAAAGTCGACACCGCGAAACGTGGAAACGAGCGCCTAAGAGCTGCGCTCTGAAATGTCTAATGCTTTCGCTCGTCTGTCAATCTCACCATGTTGCTCAAGCAGCTGGCATCGTCGATCAAGGACACTGCTGCGGATGCCTCAAAAATTACTCGAGGCTCCGACTCCGGTGCAGAGATGGGACGCAGCGTCGCAGGCAGGCTCTTATCAGGTATTCCCCTGCTGGAGAGGTACCCTAAAAAGGAAATCAGCTTGGATATTTTCGAGCCCTCTCTGGTGCCTGATTTCGGTGTTAAAACACTGCAGTCTAAGAACCCTAAACTTCACTCTTGGTGAGGCCTGATTGATGTTGAACATCCAGGATAGTGAGTAGTGGTCGCAGTGGATTTCAAACTTCGTAAGCTGGAACTAGTGTCTGAACTTGTGCACTGCCGAGACCACTGCGTGACACTCTCGCTCCTGGGCGGTGTAAGGTCGCCCAGATTTTCTAAGCACCCAGCTCATGAAGAACTTTTGTTGGAGCTTGCTGGGGGGCATTGCCGTTTAAGCACTGCAGCGATGCCCACCTCGCTGACATATGTTTCCACTACAAAGGGCCGATTAAGGTGCGGCAAACTCATCGCAGAGCCGTGCGCCAGTGCTTTCAGTAGAACGGTGAAGACTGGCTCTTGCTTGTGATCCATATCCACTTTCGATCCTTTCTCAAAAGATGGATGTGGGAGCGGGCAATGTTGAAACACTTTTTGGCAAAGTTCATGTAGTATCGAACCAATCCCAGAAAGGCCTCCAGCTGTTTGACAGTGGTGGGTCGGAAGTAGTCAAGTACCGCCACCACATTTCAGTCGTCTGGGATATATTTTCCAACGCTTAATACATGGCTCAAGAACTTAATCGACTGATAGCACACCTGAACCTTTTCAGGGTTAATTTGAAGTGTTGCAGATCTGATGCACTCTAGGACTTCTCCTTAACGGTTGGACTTGGTGACACGCTCCAGTTCGTCTTTTTTGATGGCGTAGCTGTTGGAAGAGCTCTTGGCGGCATTGATGAGCTGGTCCACCAGGCACTCTGCAAGGATCTTGATGTTACGGAAGGCGCTCTCCACTGCGCCTGTGCACAGCGGCCATATGGCCTGGTTCACCCAACGCAGCAGGAATACGTCCACCGCCTGACGACGCAGCGTGCCCGCACGCCCTATGAGCGTAGAGTCCCCCCGCGGCCCGCTGTTGATGATGGCATTCACCACCCTCTGTAGCAAATTTTCGCCAGTGAGTAGGTGAATGATCTTGAAAGAATGCTTGATGATTTTCACGGCCAGCTGCTTCTTGCCGTTGTTCCGGCCGTCTACGACATATGCAACGTGGTTGTCCGCCGTCACTGAATGCACAGCCCATAAATTCTATAGAATATTAGTGGTTGATTCTATTCATGACTTTATCCATCAGCGTTTGAAAAGAGGCTGAACCAACTGCGACGCACAATGGCACTCTCGTATACTCGAACGTGCTCTGGTGGCATACAAATTCCGTATTCTGTATTCCCTCCTCGCACTTAGTAATTTGGCGAAAACCCTGCGAGAGGTCAATGCTTGTGATCGACTCGCACCCCCGAGTTGTACAAGCATCCAGTCGGTTAGGGACGTCGGATACAATAATACCCTGTTGCCTGCGTCGAGCGGCCGATAGCATATGGCCTAAAAAAGGCCTCGGAAAATTTTAGCCACCAGAACAGATGCACTGGTCTACTGACTGGACCTCCGACGCACAAGGCCGTGTTGCCAGAAGTATTAATGCAAACCCTAAACGAACACTTGTTTCCTAGAATTTTAGGGGTAAACTTCCAATGACCGAAAGGACTGTTTCCTGAGTTTAGTTGTTGCTCGGGAAGGGAAATGGCAACCGAGAGTTTTGATTAAGATTGGGACAGAGATCTAGAACAGCATACCTTTAGAAGCATACATTTTCAGCATGTCGGAAAAGTTCCTTCGCATTTCGTAGAACTGTGGCTGGATGCGCTAGCACAAGGGGAGTCCTATTTGAAGATGTTCTCCAGGAAGTGCCAAGGTTCTTGGGCCTAAAGCTTATGGATTGCTTGCTTTCAAGCCTTCACAAAAGGCACAATATTCTGGGCTGTGTTCTAAATCTCCCTCGTCCAAGAGCCACATTGAAAGAGATATCTGTCACTGTAAGAAAGTCCGTTCCCAGAACAACGTCTATGCAGAGGTCGGCATACAAAGGAAACGTTGTCTACGGAAGCCTCCTGCACACTGGATCTTGCACCGAAGGGATGCAGTAGACTGGGACCAACATGTTGCCAGTCGCAGCGAACGCACCTTTTTTTTTACGGGCACCTTTGGCTTGAGCAGCAGTGATGCCCTGCCGACCCTAGATACTGATGCTGGAGCCTGTATCAAGCAGTTCTTTAAGCGTTGATGACCCGATTGTAACGTCAAGGAAAATTTCTTTCGTACGGCCGCAAAAAATATTGGAGTGCGTGTAAGTTTATAAAGCCTAGGACTTGGTCTGCCTCAACGGCTGACAAATCTTCTCGCTGTAGATGGGAAATCTAGCCAGTGCAGTGCAACTACTAGCCTGGGGTCTTCAAGGTGCATCACGCAGTCGCGATACACGACCGCACGCAGGTACGATGCTCATCCAGATTCAAACAGCCTTGGAGGGGATTAAAACCACGATTCTGGGTTCTGCAACGCGAGCTATCCCTCCACGTGCTCGGAGCTGATGAGCGTTCGCCCACTCGACCACCGACCCCCCTTTTTCCGGCAATAGTCGCCACTTCCAGCACTGTGCCGTATATGCTCACTGGGGCGCCATCTCCTAGTGTCCGTCTCCTGGACACTGCTTGGAAATCGACAGGCTGTTGGCATCTGAACCAGACATGTGGACCGAACGGACAACTTGTGGCACAGTTGTGAGCGGTGTGATCGACTCCTCTGAATCTCCTGCCATCTGGGACTTCTTGTAGGCGCTGATGTAAATGTGAAATCAGCACAACAAAATCTGCTACTCCCCCTGACGTTGATTGTCCGGGATTCTGGTCTTTATAGTATCCAATTTCGGCTGCCGAAAGGCGGTTAGCTGTATGTCGACTGCATTGTCGGCTGTTGCAGATGACGCAGCCACTGCTAGAGCCTGTACGACAGTAGTGGGCATTGCAGCCCCCGTCCTGGAGAAGACACTGTTAACTCGTGCCTCGAAGACTAGGTCACTGGCCACCTTTTTTCCTTTTGTGGGTAGGCGGCTTGTAATAAAGCTGCCACCAGGCACGCTGTTTGAGGTCATTCCCTTCCTTAGCAAGCTGGCTCAATTTTTGCGTACTTCGTTCCTTCCGGCAAAACCTTAAGCTGGGGATGCATTTGGCGTAGCACGCAGTCCGTCCCTCGTGAGTCGGGCTGTTCTTCCCTGTTTTTCCAGCATATTTCAGCGATTTTGTAAATAAATTTCTTGAGGTTCTTTTTGGGGTGTTGAAAGCAGCGTTTCAACTCATCTTTTAGATTTCGCTTGACGGCGACTGACACAAACTTGGACCGAAATGCTGCCGCAATTAGCGTTGATAATCGGTTGATAATTTTTATGTAGTGTTTACATGTACCATATAGAATTGTATACATTCACACGGTGTTTATGTGTACTGATATTGTTTTCGTCATATTGTTCGTACTTTTTCTCTAAATGTTGCTGTATGTATGGGCCCTCAGGCACTCTCAAGCTGTCAATGACAGCTTTCTTGCCCGGGGACCCCCAACACTCTGTTGGAAATAAAATGAATTGAATTGAATCGAAAAATTTTATCCCAAATTCCGAAGCCACCGATACTACGCCACCATAACTTGACGCTCCATTCCAGTGCGACCAGAAATACCTTGCCCTGCCGGTTGTCGTATGTCGCCTCCGACAACCGTCACGACAAGGTCTTTCTGGTCGCACTGGAGTGGAGCGCCAAGTTATGGTGGAGTAGTATCGGTGGCTTCAGAAGTTGGGATAAAATTGCGGCTGTATTTCGTGCCGAGTTTGTGTCAGTCGCCGATAAGCGACGTGTATAAGATTAGATGAGACACTGCACTCAACACCCCAAGGTGAAGCTCGTACTTAAACCTATACTTAAACTTCGTACTCAAACTCGTGCTTACGCTCGTACTTCAACATAAAATATTAGTTGAGACATTGCACTCAACGGCCGAGGGAACCCCAAGGAATTCAAATTTAAACCCGTACATACTTAAACCTGAATCCTGTATTTAAACAAAAAGTTTCGCGTATCTTTACGGATTATTCGGGAGGCTGTCGATCCATGAAGCTTGTGAAATTCGGCAGCTGCGCAGAGGGTCCGTAAAACGGGTGGACTGCAGCCGCGGTTACCTTAGTTTCGTTGGCGGAGGCACTGCGGCAGTCAGTACCGGTAGGCGCAATTGAGCAGAAACTTGTTTTATCTACATCGCGCATCCGTCGGTTGGTCTTAAAAGATAGGCTATCGATTCACCCGGTACTTGCACGTTGTTCGTTTTCAGCCCCGGACGAGCCCCTAGTTGCTATAATTGAACTTTTAGTACCCGGTCTCAATCTAAACTTAACTGTTCGTTTTGTTTTGTCGTCGTTCTTTCTGGCTATCTCGTTCGTTCACTAGTGTCGTATCGGCCTCTACGGGGCTTGTGCGGACGGCATGGCCATCTCGATCTCTACAAGCCCATGTGTCTGGCATAGTTCTTCGCCAGTCACTCCTTAGAAAGTCACCGTAACTGCTTGTGTGCTTAAAGTGACAAAACATTGTTGTCCTTCAAGGGGAATTCGCTGAACCAACATTGAATAACATGATTCGATGAAAGAGCGTTTGATAAAAAAAACTAGTTCAGTGAAATGTCCAGATTCAAAATGACACAGCCAACACAACCTCCTCTCGTACCAGTTTTAGAAAACTTGACGTCGTCTCATGAACGAAAAAAGTGAAAGATAGAGCGACGCGGCAACTTTATGAAAAGGTGCGGCGGCCCGTCTCAGCAAGACGGATATTTAACTGCAGCGTCTGTTGGGTTCTATATATATTGCAATTATGTTTATGGCGGCTCAAATAATAAATCCAAATATAGTTGAAACTGATTTTACATCAAAATACTACTAACCAGCTGTGAACTAAAGTATTGTGAGGCTGTGTGTTACGATATGTCGCCCAGAAAACAAAACTCTTGTTACTGTATACATGGTTACCAACATTAGCGCACAAATTGTAATTATTTCTGAAGGTAATATATCTGCCGCCGAACAATCCAAGTTCACCTTGGGTCATGCAGAGAAGTAACCTCCCCCCCCCCCCCCGAATCATACAACGAGTAGACTTTTACAGTGCGGATGAGAGCTGTAGTCACACCATAGGAAAAAAAAGTTATATTAAGTGCGTTGCATGTGGGTTTCGTGTTTTGCACACCTGTAAAAATGTTTATCCTAACTTTATTGATACATATATATATATTTTGCTTTACAGGTGGATGCCCTAAACTACACTAGTTTACACAAGGATGTATTCAGCAGATCGTCGCTTATGATATCATTTTCCATGGTAGTGTTGTGGTTCACCAGAAGGAACGCTACACAAGGCTTTGGCATTGGTGCACCTTGCATCAGAGGTTATACTGGGGCTATGCCCACGGTAAGATACACGGATGAAATGGGAC